AACATATTTGATTACACGTTTGATGTCGCAGTTAAACGAGGCTGAAAAACGAGCGTGATGGAGGCAGCGGTTTGCCTCAAAACACACACGCACAAGCGCACAGGGAGGCCGCCACGAGTTCAAAGGTTTGCTCCGTCTCTCTCTGAGAGGGCTCTGAAAAGTCACCGCACTGTCACACAGAGAGGACGGAGAAGAGAGTCAGGAGGGTGAAGCAGGGCCTCGTCGGTAAAAATCAAACGCAGTCCAATTAAACTAATCATAACGAGCCAGTGAACACGAGGAAGCTCACCTGGAATCTTTTCCCTCCCCTTCTCCTGCTCTCTCTCTCGCCGTACCCTCCATAATTACCCTGGCCAAAGCGCTGTGAAATTACTGCACTGATCAACTAATGCTTGAGAAAATCTGAAGAAACGCACTGTCCCCTTTTTCTGCCTCCCTCCCTCCCTTTTTATGATTTAAAGGACTACATAAATAAAAATTATTTCCCCTCACTATCGCTCCCTCTCCCCCGCTTTCTCTTTATCGAGGACTGAAAAAGAGGAAAAAGAAACAAGAGGGGAGATTCTCTTCACTTTATTTTAAAGGTCTTGTCTATGAAAGAGTAAAATTAAGTGGGGGAGACATGTTATGGGTTCAGTATAAATTAAGCTGTATAAATAGCAACTATGGCATAATGTAACTGCCACAAAATGCATTTTGATTCAAGCATCAGTTTATAAATCCATAGTGTAACACAGAACCAGGCAGTAAAAATTGCAACAAAACAAGCCTGGTGTAACAGAAACACTTTAAAATGTAAAATTACACCAGATTATTCAACGGTTTGACATGACGACATAATTCCGCTAATCCAGAAAGCATGGTGCAAACCAGTGTTGTTATTGTTAACTAAAACTATTAAAATAATTTTTCATTAATTGAAATAAAGCTAAAATAAACTAAAATATAAAAGCTGGATAAAGTTTTAAATTAAAGTACTAAAATTACTAAAACCAAATAGAAATACTTACAAAAATTAAACCACACAATTATAAAAAAAATTAAAATAAAAAAAAACGAATTACATATATAT